TGTGATGCTTCAAGTGATAGTTTGGGTTGTGTGCTGATGTAGAATGGTAGAGCAGTGGCTTATGGGTTTCGACAGTTGAAGACACACAAGTACAACTACCCTACTCATGACTTGGAGTTGGCGGCAGTTGTATTTGCCTTGAAATGTTGGAGACACTATTTGTATGGTGAGAGATTTGAGGTGTTCTCAGATCACAAGAGTCTCAAGTACCTTTTTTCCAAAAGGACTTGAACAACAGACAGAGTTGATGGGTTAAGTTTTTAGAAGATTATAATTTTGATTTGTAGTATCATTCGGGCAAGGCAAATGTTGTAGCTGATGCCTTAAGCCAAAAATCTCATAGGACTTTAGCTGGATTAGCCATCCAGAAGTGGAAGATGCTTGAGCATTTAGCAGAAATGCGATTGTATTGCTTTGACGACGATGTTTGTAGTGAGCCGGTATTCTTGTTTAGTTTTGTGGCTCAGCCTACTCTTATCGGACGAGTAATTGAGTCATAGAGACAGGATCCGAATTTGGATGCCATTTACACTTTAATCTTTAGTGGTGAGACAATGAAGGATTGGACCTTATATGCAGATGGAGATCTTCGGTTCAAGGGTTTGTTGGTTGTTCCCACAGTTTGTCATGAGGACATTTTATAGGAGTTTCACCCTTCCCGCTTTGCATTTCATCCAAGTGGTAGTAAGATGTATCACAACTTGAAACGTCAGTATTGGTGGAATGGGATGAAGAATGATGTTGCATAATTTGTGACTAGGTGCCTTACCTGTCAGCAGGTGAAGGCCGAGCACCAGAGACATGCTAGTTTGTTACAGCCATTGCCTGTAGTGTATTGGAAATGGGAACATATTATTATGAATTTTGTGATAGGTCTTCCTAGGTCACGGAGAAAAAATAAGGCCGTATGGGTCATCATTGATAGATTGACCAAGACAGATCACTTCTTGCCTATTAAGATAACGGATGACGCGGAAACACTTGGTGTGCTGTTTGTGAAAGAGATTATGAGGTTGTACGGAGTTCCAGTGTCTATTGTTTCAAATAGGGATGCCGAGTTCACTTTGAAGTTCTGGGAAGGACTTCAAGCAGCGATTGGTTCATTGTTGCACTTTAATACGACATTCCATTCACAGACAAACGGCCAGTCAGAGTGTACCATCCAGATATTGGAGGATATGCTTCGGGCATGTGTACTTAATTTGGGAGGTAGTTGGGAGGATCACCTTCCACTTATTGAGTTTGCTTACAACAACAGTTATCAGGCGAACATTGATATGGCTCCATTTGAGGCGTTGTATGGTAGACCTTGTTGGTCTCCAGTCTGTTGGACTGAGGTATGCGAGACAGCCTCTTTGGGACCTGACATTGTACTCGAGACCACTGAGAAGATTAAGTTGATTAGACAGAGGTTGCTCACAGCTCAGAGCCGACGGAAGAGTTATACAGATAGGTGGAGATGACCGTTATCCTTTGAGGTGGGAGACCACGTCTTTCTACAGGTTTCTCCATGGAAGGGTTTGATGAGGTTCGGGAAGAGTGGCAAGTTGTTGCCACGATTCATTGGACCATTTGAAATGTTGCCTACAGACTTGCATTGCCACCACAGATAGACAGAGTCCACAATATTTTCCATGTGTAGATGCTACAGAAGTATGAATCGGATCTGTCCCACATTTTGAGCTGGGTTGATGTAGATATTGATGAGGATGTCTCCTATGAAGAGGGACCAGTCGAGATCCTTGACACATAACAGAAAGTGTTGAGGGACAAGACGATACTGCTAGTGAAGGTTCTTTGGAGGCATCACGGAGTTGAGGAGGCTACTTGAGAGCTTGAACAGGAGGTTCGCTCTAAGTACCTGGCGTTGTTTTCTCCTTTAGGTATGGCTTGATTTTAGGAATGAAATCCTTTTAAGTTGGCGAGATTGTAATATTTCTGTTTTCCACCATTTTTCATTTTTCAGAATTTTCTTTTTTTGCGAGGGTATTTTTAACTTTTCTCGTTTTACGTACCGAACATCGCGGGGTGTGCTGGGTGTGTCCGAGAGTTGGTTGGGGCATTTCTTTGAGTTCAGGACTCTTGGAAATGCAATGGTTGCCATTTCGGCATTTTTTTGTTTTTCGGGCCGAACAGTCCCAGGTGGACGCGCTACCGGAATTGTTATGTACGGGAGTTGCGTCATGGGTCCATTGCATACCATGCTTAATTATTTAGTGCATATTTATATGGTTGTGTGTTATTTTATGTAATTTTGATTTAATTGGAATAAACATATATATATGTCTATTTTTCAAAAAAAAAGTTAGAATTTTTTTAGTGGTGGGACCCACCACTTCAACCTTTAGTGGCCACGTCTCTCTCCCCGGCACTCTTTTTCTCTCCCTCTTTATTTTCCTTTTTCTTTTTCTTTTTAATCAAATTTTAATCCTTAATTACTCTTCAACAGTTAGGAGTTTGTTGGTGTCGTTTGCGGCAAGTCGGAAAGCTCATTGAGATTTTCGTTTTGATAGAAGTAATTCACCATTTTAGCCAACTTTGGGAATTTTGAATTAGGGCTTGGATTTAGGCATTTTTAGGGCTTTTCATCTAGCTTTGAGGTAAGGGTCTCTAATCCACAATCTCTTGGGTTTTTGTGAGTCAATTCCTTTAAATTTTTGATTTACCATGCTCAATTTGTGAATACTTCATGCACGATTACTTATGTGTTATATGGTATATGTTGTTGAAGCATGCCTATTTGAAGACAAACCTACGCTTGTTGTGCCTTTAGTGTTAAATCTTGTAATTTGAAGGCATAAGAGATACTTGGAAATTTTTTTGGAACATGTGTGGTGTTGAATGTTGTTTTGAAAGGCATGGAATCTTATTTTTGCACAACATTGAAATACATGAGGCATCTTTGCATGACATTGGGCAATGAAATAGGGAAATTTGATTGAAATGAAAAATAAAAGGTTTTGGGAAAAAGTTTTGGATCAAAGGTTTGCGAAAACCCGGTCACCTAGGAGTTGCCTAGGGTTCGTGGCGTTAATACGACCTAGAGGAGACTAGGGAGAATGCCTTAGCGTGGTTGAGTTACCTGGGCCCCAAATGACACAATGTAGTTGTGATGGGTCAAAGACAGTTAACCAATCCTCCTCTCGTGCCACCATGGAGTTGACATGGGACGGGTTTCACTAACGGTTTAGAAATGATGATGAAAATATTTTAGAAATGGGGAGCGACATTACATGACATTGTATCCCATTGCATGGCATGGTCCATTACGATTTTGATTTGTGGTTGTTGATTTCATTGCTAAGTTTTTCCCCAGCATAGCATGATTCCATTTTCCCTTATTCTTATTCATTGTTTGGATTCACGGGGTCACAAGAGGTGTGTCTTAGGCACCACCTACTGAGGAAATTGCTCACCCCTTTATTATTAACATTTTTCAGGATACGGAAAGGAAGTGGTAGACGACAATCCATTACAAGTTTAGCCAAGTTGACAGAGTTAGACTCTTTTGTGCTCGATGTGTATATTACCCCCTTTGTTGTAAATAGAATTATGGGTCATTTTGTATCTATTACATGGTTGGAAATGGTCTTGAGACCATCCTCTTGTATTTTGTGGTCTCATTATGATTTCAATGTCCATGTAAGGCCTGAAGGCCATATTTTGATGTATGACGGACGTATGGTTTTAATTGAATGTAATATTACCCAATTGTATTAATTTTACCATCAAATAAAAGATTAGGGATAGGTTTGGACATTGAGTAAGGTCACCAAGGGACCAAAGAAGTGCCTAGGTGCACAAGTTCATAATTTTAAGCTTTCTGGGGCATTTTCAGGATTCTGGGCATCTTGAACCGGTTCACCCCCATTGAACCGGTTCAAGTCCCCCAGTGCACCCTTTTGGTTTCCTCAGTTTGATAGCTTGGATTGCTTGACTTCGGACTGTTATAACTTCTTCAATCCCAACCCAAATAGTCATTCTTGAGTCCATTACCAAGCCACTACCTTTGAGTCGCCGGTTCATTCTTCAACAGGCACGCGGTCAGAGCCCCGAGCTCCTCCCACTGCTTGGGAGCTTAGCTTCCAATGAGACCAACCTCATTCTCAAACGCCATTCATGTTGAGAGTTATGGTTGTTTTAGTGGAACAATGTCAGAATTTTCCTTAAACCGAGTAAGGGTACTTTTGGGAATTCATAACCGATGACCGTAGAACTTCTTCGATTATCATGGAACGACTAGAATGACTGTTTTAAACTTTATTTGACTAGTTTAAGGTCTTATTATCCTCTTATATTGTAAAATGATCATTTTGCCCCTAGTGTGTCCTCGGGTTTGGTTAAGGACTCGGTTAGCAATTCGGATCTCAGGTTTGGGTCGTTACAGTCTCCTCTAGTGGCAGAGTCCATCTTCCAAGATTGACATGACGCTCATCTTCAATGATCATGTTGTGAAGGATGATGCACTTTTTCATTATAAGGCACAAGTCCCTTTTATCCCAAAAATGCACTGGTCGTTGCGTTATTGCCCACTTACTCTGCAAGACCCCAAAAGCTCGTTCCATATCTTTCCTACAGGCCTCTTGTCTCTGAGCAAAAAGTTTTTTTTTTTTTTTTTTTTTTACTATAGTTGGGTGCGGGATGGTCTACATCAAAGTTGCCCACTTAGGGTATATACCATCAGATAGGTAATACCCCATTGTATGGTAATGGCCATTCACAACGAAATTAACTGGAGGAATTTGGCTAGTAACGATACTGTCGAATACTAGAGAATGTTCTAGCACATTAATATCAGTGTGTAAACCCGGCATTCCAAAGAATGCATGCTAGACCCATAAATCTTTTGAGGCAACCGCCTCCAATATGAGCATAAGCATATGAGAGTATCCTTTGTGCGTGCCATGCCACGCCATCGGATAATTCTTCCACTCCCAGTGCATATAGTTGATAGAACCAAGCATTCCTGGGAATCCTTTCTCCTCCTCTTCTTGAAGTAGTCATGCTATGTCAGCTTTGTTGGGTGGGCGTATGTACTCTTCCGTATACACACCAATAACAGCCTTACAAAATGTCATTAGGGTTTCAATGGCAGTGCTCTCGCCGATTTTAATATACTCGTCACAATGATCGGCTGCACAACCATATGCTAGTATACGTATTGCAGTTGTCATCTTTTGTATAGAAGACAACCCCAAACGACCTGTTGTATCCCTTTTTTGGATGAAGTAGTTGTCATAAGCGTTAACATCATTCAGGATATGAAGAAATAGTTCTCGTCGCATCCTGAATCGTCTGTGAAAGTACTCCGGTGGATATGTGCAATTCTCATCAAAGTAGTCTTTCATTAATTGAGGGTGGCTTCGCTCTCGATCACGATGAATGTACCGCCTCTTAAGCGGTTTAAAAACTTGCTCTACTATCTTTGGGTTCATTGAATTCAAAATCTCACGAAAGGCATCTTGATTACGTTTAATTATCGAGTCAATAACGTTATCTGATGAAGAGGATGATGAAGAAGATGATGAATTAGAGCCTGACAAAGGAAAAAATCGTGATGAGAAAGCCATTGGAATTTTTAGATTGAAAGAGATGTGAATTGATATTTTGCTAGAATAAGTTGAGATGAATGTAATAATGACGAGATGAACAAATGGTTGTTTATATAATATGAAAAATATAGCCGTTAGGAAAAAGTTAAAAAATAAATTTTGTTTTAAATTTTAAAAATATTAAAATATTAATATTTTTGGAGAGCGAAAATGCACCATTGGAGTACATGTGATAATTAGAATTTGGAGACTCTAAAATGTTGACGTGGTTATGAGAAATGCTGACGTGGCTATTAAAAAATGCTAATGTAGCAAATTCGGAGAGCCTAATTTTAGAGAGTCTATTGGAGATTGTAATACCCCTAATTTTAAAAAGGATATTCCTGGTATTTAATGGTATTTAATTTATTATTTAAGTGCATTTTATTTGATTATGTGTCATTATTTTTTTATTATGTGCTTAATTGTTTTCTTTTGTGGTGATTTAATTTATTTAAATGATATTTATTGGTTTAGTTATTTGATTGGAATTACTTGTTAGTGTTTTAATTATTTAATTGGCATTAATGGTTTAAGTGTAATTGGTTTAATTATTCTATGTGTGTCTTATTTTATGTGTGTCTTATTTGGTTTAATTGGGTTTACTAATTATTATTTTGTTCAATTAGATTATTTGTTAAGTATTTAATGGTGAATAGGGTAATTAGGTAAATACATCTAACTAGGGTTTTAATTACAGTATAAATTAGGGTTTTATATTATAGCCGTCGTAGGTTTTTACGTTAATTAGATGGGCCGGTTAGGATTGTGAGTTGGACTTAAATGAACCTAGGGTTTAGAAAAACTCTATAAGTATAAGGTAGACGTCTGTGTAGGGTTTTTTTTTAAACAAAGCACACGTTTTGTGGAAGTGGAGAAGGAAAAACGCAGTTTTTCACATTCTGCCAAGGTTTGATCAAAGCTTCGATCCCGCTTCGTCCGTGGTCCGATCGAGCTGAATTTTGGAGGAGAGGTTCACGACTCAGTGATGCACAATCTGAACGGTGGAGATCAGAGTTTGACCTCGGGAACAGTGATTTGTACTCATGAACAGTAACTGGGTCGCACAGGTTTTTTTCCATTCTGCCTAGATTTCATCAAACATCCGATTCTGCTTCGTCCGTGGTCCGATCGAGCTGAATTTTGGAGGAGAGGTTCACGACTCAATGATGCACAATCTGAACGGTGAAGATCAGAGTTTGACCTCAGGAACAGTGATTCGTACTCGTGAACAGTAACTGGGTTTTGGAACTCGCCGGGATTTTTTAAAAAGACGACGTTGAAACTTTGAACAAAAGTTTCTAAGGCAAGATTCTATCCTTACTCTTTCCCTTAGGCTTCATACTCTTTGCACTCTTAAATGATTCCAGGATTAATGAAGATTAAACCAAACTAAAATGATATCTGTTTTGCTATGAAACTGGTAGTTACAGTAGTGTTGTATGCTTGTTCAACCTAGACTAAACATGTTTGTGGATGCATTGTGGTTCTGTGGTGCACGTTGTTCCTTACCACTGCTAGTATAAATTATTGGAAGGATGGGTCTAGATGATAGCTATCTTAACTTCTGTAATAGCAACTGTTGGAACTTAAATACTAGGAGGATTTGAGTTTAACACTAGATCGGTTTTGTGGAACACTATAATTTGAGCATGTCTACATACATACTGTGAATATTGTTTTGATGCTTACATTATCACAGTTAGTATCAACTGTGGAGGTTAGGATTTTGTGATACATACCCTACATATCTGTATGTCATTTGTAAGGTGTTAAATGGAAGTTTTAATTAATTTTGTCTTTATATCAGACTAAAGGGAACAACTTAAATTGGGCATGTATATGTTGTTGTTGTGACCCTGTTTATCAATGCTTATTTTATCACTGCTAACATTGAATGTTGGATGTTGAAATTTAGTTGATATATACTTGATTTATTGGTATTATTGACTACTGAAGGATTGGAAAGTAGGCACCGGTATGGGACGGTGGCATACTAAGGATGGGTTTGGTTTTTAAATCAATACCATTACCCACCTACTTGGAATAAGGATGGGATTAACTAAAGGTTAAGTCCCGTGGATTTGTATTGTCATGGCAACTACTTGTTGAGCGGCAATACCAGGGATTTTGGATGGATTTTATATATGTACTGTTATGGTGCCTCGGTATGAGCTTGAGCCTCAGGACTGATGGCTAGGGAGCGTATATGCATCGGGATGTGTAGCTGGCTACGATGGTTGGAGGTGTACCCTGTTTAGGTATAGGTACATATGCCCACTTCGTGTGCGTTTTAGCATGTTACCTCTATTCAGGTTAAGACCGGCCTGTAGTCCAGTGAGAGTCCTTTAGTGTGACTATATATATATTTACGGACTATTAACTATTGTTGAATTGTTTAGGATGTACATGCGTATCGGGCCTCTGTTTGGATTGTAGTAGTATAGAACTTGCGCGTGGGCCTGACCCACTTCTATTTTTCAGGTACACGACAGTTCCAGGCTTAGACGTATTCGTGCTGAGCAGAGGTCTCTATTCACTCTTCCGACGATGTAGGGCTCTCTCTATAGTTTTATTTCTGGACGTTTATTACATTTGTTCTATCTTCCGTTTGGATGTTTAATAGGGGGTCCACTAGAGATGGATTCCCAAGTTGTAAACTGATGGTGTTTTGGAGTTTGGGTTTGATGGATTTTAATAATTATAATATTTTGCGGATTTTATTTTGTATTCCTTCCAGCTTTAATTTCATTTCTTAATTTATTTTGTATTCCGTGTTCATTATAAAATATTAATTGTTTGATATTCCCTCGGGTTTGGGCCTGGGCCTGATCAACCCGTGTCTCGGATCTGAGGGGCATCTCAGTTGGTATTAGAGCACTCCAGGTTCAAGTGTCTCTAGGATATTTCGTATTAAGTCTTCCGCGTAGCATTTTCTCTTGAATAGAGCTTAAGTTAGGATTCATTGTATTCCTTATGGTTTGTATAGAAAGGGTACTGACGTCTGTCTTTTCGTGTTAACAGATGGTTAACGCTAGAAATGGACAGAACATGCAAGGAACTAGGAAGGAAAGGAAAACGGCACGTAGGCAACAATATCTCCTACGGCGTCAGCAAATGGAGGAAGAGCAGCAAAGGCTTGGGTTTTAAGATGACATGGATCAGTTTCAGGAGGAACAGGAGAATGTTCAACAGACTCTGGACCAGGTCAGAGATCCAGAGATTCCTCCTCACCTCAATGACCTCGTTGCTCAGGCTATAGAGGCTGGGGTAACAGCTGCACTTTGGAATCAGCCTCAGGTACAGCCGGCACCTGTACCAGCACCAGTGGTTCAGACGGATTCTTGGAGAAAGGCTAGGAGCTCTTTCACAAAGGGGAGTCCACCTGTGTTCTCAGGCTCAACCGATGCGAGACCAGCTCACCAGTGGAAACAGGACATTGAGCATCATCTTCGTTTGGTTCAGTGCACGGAGGTTCAGAAGCAGATGCTTGCTACTTTCAAGCTAGTTGGGGATGCACTACAGTGGTGGGAGTCAGTTACCACCTCAGAGGAGAGGATGACATTGTCTTATGATGAGTTCAGTGCTTGCTTTGATGAGAAATATTTTCCCTATGCAGTCAGGGCAGCTATGAAGACCGAGTTTCTAAGTCTGCAGCAGGGAAACATGACAGTGGCAGAGTATGAGCAGCAGTTCGCACGCTTGTCTCTCTTTGCACCGGAGGAGGTGGATACAGAGGAGAAGAAGCGCAACAGTTTTGTCAAGGGACTGATGTGGTCTATCAAGAGAGCTATTACAGGTAGTCCAGCCTATACTACCTATGCTCAAATGGTAGACGCCGCTCTACAACAGTATCAGTTGACTGTGGACATCAGACAGGCTCGTGGTGAGAAGCGGGGAGATAAAGACTCTACTAATCAGTCAGCTGAAAAGGGGAATGGCAATGGTCACCGGCAGAATGACAAAGGCAAGTTCCAAGGACAACATCCTTGGAAGAAGTACAAAGGTGGTTCAGATGCTCACCGGAATGGGGCACCTATTCAGAGGCAACAGAATGGGGGACCACAGGCAGGACAGGGTCAGCCACAGGCTAACCGACAGAGGAGGCCATTTGGTACTTTCCAGGGTAGTTGTTACACTTGTGGAGAGTATGGTCATACCACCTGGCAGTGTCCTAAAGCAGGACAAGGACAGGGACAGAGACAGTATGTGCAGCAGGGATAGAGGGCGCCAGTGCCTCTACCAGCTCCACAGGTTCCACGGATTCAGGGACAGACACATCTGGCTTTACCTGCACCGCCGCAGACTCAGGGACAGGCACCACATTAGTTGCACTATGGCAGGGTGTATAACCCCATGCCACAGGATGTTCAGGCACCTCAGACTATTGAGGGTAAGTTTCTTATCCATGGTTTGCATGGACGTGTTTTATTTGATACGGGTGCTACACACTCATTTGTAGCTAGGACTTTTGTTGCTTTGTCTGGGATGAGGACGAGGGTATGCACTAGACCTCAGGGTATTTCTATACCATTGGGTGATACAGCTATTATACATGAGAGTGATGGGCCTGTGACACTAGATATTGGCAGACTCAGATTTCTAGCCAATCTGTTGGTCCTGGACATGCACACTTATGATGTGATACTTGGGATGGATTGGTTGTCTCACTACCATGCCCAAGTTGTTTGTTTTGATAGATCTATTATTTTTACCATACCTGGTCAGGATATGTATGTAGTAGCTATGCCATGTTCTAAAGGGGGCGGTAGCACCTATTTGTTCCATGTGGAGGAAGAAAATGAGGAGGGGATTACTGTGTCATTGGATAACATACTGATTGTACAGGATTTCCCGAATGTATTTCAGGAGATTCCAGGATTGCCACCTAGTCGCGAGATCGATTTTGTGGTAGACTTAGCTCTAGGCACTGCGCCTATTGCTAGGGCACCCTATAGGATGGCACCGGTAGAGATGAG